AAGTTAGATGCAAAAAAATTCCAAAGCTGGCTAGATGAAAATCATTTATAACCACTCTGTAGTTAGCTCACACTTTCCGGATCCCATTTATGGTCAGAACTGTAAGATTACTAAAAAGTTAAAAGCTAATAATTATCACATTTTTACTAATGTTTATTTAGTCAATTTGGACTTTATTATTTGGTCTATGTAAACCACTCATACTCAAATATATTTATTAATAAAAAACAAACAAAATTACAATTAGTTTTCATTAATTTTTTGATAACTGTAACCGGTGTGATGAATTACGGATTCAATTCTGATGAATCTGACATAATAAGCTTTGATCTCTGCTGAAAGTTTCCTTTCAAGACCTGTCAAAAAGAAGCCAAGCTAATTCAAGTATATTCTTACGACTTCCTACATGTGTTCAAATGTATTGTGTATTCAAAGCTTTTAATTATTTGTATTGGGCATTAAAGCCACTTTTGGCCACTTTCTACTTCGTACTTATGTTAACAACAATTTTGTTGTCAATATAAAAAAAAGATTTGTAAACTGAAACTGATATCCGTATGCATCACGAGGATGATAAGATTAACTTAGAAGAAAATTGTACCTATTGTAACAATAAAGAGTAATGAAAGTTAATACCTACTACCTACTAAACAAAACAAACATCAAAAATGACTTGTAGAAACAAGATTTAAAAAAGTTTTATTAAAAAAATGTCATAATGTTATTTATCTCTTTGATGTCGCCTATCAATAATAAACCAGCTGTGAGTGTGGACATTAATGTTTGGCTAATAAATTTAGAACATATCATGTTGTATCGATATCTTAACGTTAATACACATAGCACACATAACATTAGATAAAATTTACGATCTATTCAATTAGATCATTATCATTATGTCTGATAAAAATAATTGCCACGCTGATATGTGAACTTCTTGTGGTCCAATATGTGGTAAAATTTATATAATTTATTAATTTCGCTTGGTTGGAAATGTCATAGTTTATAATAATTCTTTTTAATTATGACGTGGAAAATGTTGACTATTTCGGCAAGAATATTTAAAACGACATTCACAAAGTTTGAATAAACAGCTTGATTATAACTGAAAATAACCATTTTCCCACGACCCACATGAAAATTTTAAATTCATATTTAAACTAATCAATTAAAGCAACAATTGAGACATTTTCAGAGTTTCACCTATAATTCAGATATTCAACAAAATGTTTGGTTGTTACATATTAACTTCGAAAGACTAGAAAATGAACACTTTATTCATAAAATATGTAGCTACAAACGAGTATTATTCACCCCCTATAAAAATAAAAGGCAATTTACATCTCATATTGCAAAATAAGGTGTTTTTACTTTAAAAGGCGTTTACCAACCAACAACCCTCACGCCTAGGAAACTTATTCATGGGGTATAAATCAATTTGATCACCTGTTGAATAGAACCATAAATAGAAACTATTTACGAAAATATTGTATTCGATACAAAATTTCCAGAGTAGTATACAATATATTAAAAAACAAAAAAGATTAGAAAAATTAGCCTTGAATAAGTGAGTCACGAGCAACATTTTAAATACCATTTTAAATTCTCGTCTAAATCCCAAATTGCCACGATTACACCACTGTGGCATTCACGAATTTCTTGATAAGCATCTGTCAGACAAATGGCTCGAGAAAGCCGTCGTAACATCATAAAACTTTTTAAGTGAACATTACAAAAATTACTTCAATAGGTAATTCATTGTCGTTATTGTCACCTCTTCAAGTTTATTTGATCGTTTGGAAGCCACACGTAGGTATGAGTACGTGACAAAACATGTAACATTTATTTTTTTCTTCGTTTCATATTATGGTTACGTAAGATATGTACAAAAGAGTTGCCGAAATTGCCAATCAACGGAGATGATTTGACGGTAATGATTAGAATAAATTAGTGCTGTTGTTCTTATACTGCCTTTCTGCATTTGGCATCGCAATACAGAAATATTTTAATCGTAATTAAATGAGATGCTTAGAGTTGGTAATTTTCTCTTGCACGGTTGAAATGAGAACGATTAATTATGTTTCTTACTGTTATCTGTTAAACGTCTTATGGTAAACATTATGAAGTATTGTGAGTCGCACGTATAAATATAATTAATTTTTTATTAGCTTGAAGAAGTCGATGGGAAATTTGGTGAAGAGCAACTAGTCGGTTCATCGAACCATGGGTATACTCAATATAAACAATAATAAATAACAATATTGATAAATTACCTGTGGAAAAGCGGGCCCACGATTGCGGTGTCCGTGCTTTATTTACGGTAATGGGTTCTTCGGTTTCCAGCGAATAGGCCAAAGAAGACATCGAGCTTGTCAAAATCCACGCTAATAAAGTTCTGTTCGCAACTGAGCTTTTGTCACGTTCCAACATAATCGTAATTTCTACCACACTTGCTGTTTTTTCGAACCCCTTCGCTGTTTATTTTAAAACTTTTCAAACAAGCGCGTGTTACATGCCGCGGCGCCAGTTAGATCAAACAAATATGTAATTAAAAATAAATTACCCCACATTACATGTCCGATGACAGCTTTACACACTGCAGAAAATTACATTTATTAAAAGTAAATAATTCTTATGGAAATGGGTCGTCGAACACGCACCGAACGCGTCGTACCGCAACGAACTAAACAACCTTCCCACCAAACAGACGCTCAAGAACTGAAAACTGAAATTTATTTTGTTCGCGTGTGAGCTTTCGAGGTCTTGCTTTCTCTTTCCGGACCGAAGTGGGAATAGGCGCCTTCTTTATCTCTCCGATGGGTTGATGTCGGACGAAAATATTTCTTCTTGGTATTGGCGATTAAGAATTATTGGTCCACAATATTTTTGGAATGTATAACGAGACTGGGATTAAATTAGCTTCTTAACATAATGGAGACTTTTGGATCCCGGTATCAGTTTACAATTTGCACTGTTTGCAGTATTGCAGTATTGCAGTAGTAAATTAATAAGTAACGCAAAAATGCAAATGTTACATGAAATTGAAGAATATAATATGCCTAATATTTTACTTTGGAAGTTCCTGTTTTTGTTTGAATGTTCAAATTTTTATAAATATACCTACTGATAAAGATTGTGTATACCACACTTCATTTCTTAGAGAGGCAAAATTCGAAAACTGTTACAAAAATTTCACAGACCGACACTTTAAAAGTGTAAACAATTTTAAAAATAGTTTGTAGTCTGCTTTCTTTATCCTACATTTGTTTATTTATTACGGATAAAAAATGACGACTTTTGCACCCTTTTAATAATGTAATAATATAACATAATAATGTAACATTTTTCGGTGATACTTATATGAATGAAGAAAATATTTTCAAGATTTTTGGTCATACCAGAAGTGGGTATCAACTTCGTTATTTTAAAAATAGAAAGTTAATTTTTATATTCATAGTAACTTTTTTTAATTCTTCCAGTTTAAAAAAGTCAAGGTAACTTGGAAACCATTATACTTAGATATAGGGAATGTTGATACAGATCGATGCAGAATTAAATTCTCTTTAATGTAGTGAAGAAAAAATTGGAGCCTTCTATTTGAAAAAATTGAATTATTATATTTTAGGGGTTTGTTAATTATTTTTCAAATTATGCATACCTTTCTCTTTCACATGTTCAAATACGATTTCAAATTAATGAAAAGTAGTAGAATTATTGATTTTTGAATCCAAAGAAATTCAAAAAAGTCTAAACATTTCAAAAACTGATAAAAACTCTCTCAAAATCACTTGAGTAATGCAAAAACGCAATACAAACATAGCTTTCTATTTAAAATAACAAAGTTGATACCCACTTCCGGTGTAACCAAAAGTGCCACCATCTTGAAAATATTTATATCATTATTAGAACTCCCAATTCTTCTAATGTTAGATTTAGCCGAAGCAGCCTTTATTTTTGTTATATTCTTTAGTTCAATTAAAAATGTATTTATTTTTAAATTATTTCCAGACATCACTTTCCAATTATTTCAATCTAAGCATTTGCCTCCAGAAAATAATAATTATTATACATTAAAGTAATATAGAAAATGTGATCGTATTTTCAGAACGAGATTTTGTTTTGTTTTTGAGTTATGCGATTTTTTTTTGTCAAAATTTCAATTTATGTGAAACAATTTTTTTGAAAAAATTAAATATAAAGCAGATAGTTGTAATCCTTAGAGAATAGCTTTTATGAGAAAATTGATTTTATAGTGGGTTGACGCTTAAATTTTTTTTTTTGTAGAACTCAAAAACAAAAGGAAATTTCGAAAAATTTTATTGTTAAATCATCACATTTTTATACTACTTTATCAATCATCAATTAGTTTTTTCAAAAAATAAATAGTGTAAGCAATAAACGTTTGGTTCCATACTTTTTATTCACCTGGTATACCTATAGGTATACAGGGTGCGCCAGAACTCGCTCCCCAAAGAAAAATGCCATATAAAGTAGGATACCAAGAACATGGAAAAATTGTTAAAAAAATTTTATCTATAAAAATTTTGAAGTTATGGGGGTTTAAAGTTTGCACTTTGACTCTATTTATTTTTGTTGGAAAAATGATTTTCCAAGTTTTTTTGCTATAGGCAACAAGGAAGCTATATCCTAAATTGTAACTCTGTTCAATGTTATTTGTGGCTTTTATTGGCCAAATTTTTGTCCCTTTACTAAATAATTGTAAAAAAACATATACATCAGTATCATTAAATAGTTATAAAAAAATGTCAAATGTCAAAAAATAAATGTCAAAATTTTTTGACAGATAGGATTTTTTAAACTTTATTTTTCATGTTCCTGGTATCTTACCTTACTTGAAAATTTTCTCTAGGGCGCGAGTTCTGGCGCAGCCTGTATAGATACGCTGAAGTTTTAACATTAAAAATGTAGACACAGATGATATGAGACACATCTATTTTGTATTTTGTATCTGATTATTTTCGGTGTCACAAACTGAATTTTATCTCCTTTCGATATCGCCAGACCTCTTTCTATTTTATTAAACAAATATCTACAACCTATCATAAAACTAAATTCAAATTACAAAGTTTTTATAGAAGTTATGTTAATCATTTCGGGAATTGACAATATTTTAGCTAATGAGGCACTAGCTCTACGAGCTCTAATCATGAAGCAGTTGAGATGTAAAATGTATTATAGGGTTACTCCCATTCAACTGTAAACCGTTTTTTTTTTAGCTTAATACGAGTACAAATTTTATTGTTATATACATATTTTTAATGTTGATGTTTTGTGAAGTACCTAATAACATCTTCGATGGTAGTCGTTTTTTAAAAAATGTAGAATTATTAGATCCAGACGTTTACTCTTCGTAAAGAAGACTAAAGTACATACGTAAAAACAACCACTTTAATTATTCCTTGCATCATGTTAAAAGAAGAAAGAAGAAATTTTTGTAGATCAACATATTACAGCAAAACTAATGGAATTTCAGCTTTTTCCAAGCGATGTGGGCACCGCATACGTCAAATATCATCAATTTTAAGTGTCAAATACGATAATAAATTCAGTTTAAGAATCAATCAATAAGAAAAGTAGTATGAAAAACACGTGTTGCAACCTCTCATTGTGATACTCTTGCATTTGTATATTTGTAACACGATGAGAATGTTTGTAACACTTGTTTTTTAATTTATGTACATACAACTATTAATTTTATTTCATTCTCAGATACGAGGAGCTAATGCACAGATTTTTCTAAACTATGATTATACATACATCAAAATTTTAAAGAAATAAATTAAATCATGCTGTGATATTTTTCGAAAATTCCGAGATTTACAAACATATTTCAGATAAGTATTTCAATGCCGAAATGTTTAAATTACATAAAATGAAACTGATGGGTAAAAAATTGCAGTAGATAGATTAAAAATTAATGAATTTATGTAAGAGTATTTAGTTTGATGAATTAAAGAAGAAAGAATTGTTTTTTTAAGTGAAGGCTGAATTATTATACCTAAACAGACCCACATCAACGAGAGAATCTTGTTGTCAACATAAATATGAATGAATCAAAACATTTTTTGTTTTTTCTTGGTGGGTATTAGATGCAGGAACATCAGTAGATCTTAGAGACGTCTTTATTCTATTACAATAATTACATATGTATTTTAAGTAGCCTAAATAATATTTCAAGAACTGATTTTTTCGATAGTTTGAAAAAACACAATATATCGGCAATCAAAATGCATATTTTAATATTTCAGGTACGCCGAGAGGTACGCCATGCCGCTGGTTTAATCAGTGTTCTAGGTGGTACAAATCAGGCAAGTCACTGGGACTAATTAAACCATCAAGTGTACGGCCCCCTTTATTCATACTTCTTGGGATCCATCCATGTAGACAGAGATAAAGCTCTACTCACTCTTGTATCGTTTGGTATGCTGCAATGTCTGTCGTGTTGTTTTTTTGATGCAATCCCCCCTGGCTCTTTACTATGCCATCCGAGATGTTTATAATTACTATTATGATACAAGAACACACACTCATCAATAACTTTTTTTAATCCGACTTGATAAAAGCAATTTTAAAGGAGGTCCGCTTTTTTATCGCGCGCTACATTGTGGCCTTAATTGATTTTAAATATTTGAATAAAGTTGACGATTATGGGAATTTTTTAATCCGCTCCAAGAAATGAATACCAACTTGAAGAATCAATTTTATAAATATATTTTTATGCCGGTGAGTCGATGATTAACCAGAGTTTGTGGGACTCGTTCTTGCTCTCATCATCGCTAAGCGGGGCTATAAACAAAGAACTCCAAAAAGAAATAAAGTGGTCTGTTTGGTTTGGTTGGACCCCTCACTGTGAAATCAGCCGAAGAGATAGACGCTCGGCAAATACACCGCCACTCCACATGTTTTAACCTTAAATAACAGGGCAATTTATCATGGAATAGTCAGCGGCAAGCACGAAATACATTTTTTAATAATATAATGCACTTTCAGTTAATTAATTAATTTCATTATGCCGCTGACACAGGCTATTAGATTTTATATGCCGCGCTCGGTAGTCCACTTTTTAAGAAATTTATTTTTGTCTGCGACATTTTTAATATACTGATCTTCTTCTTTTAATAAATTGAGAACACGTTTAGAAATATCACATGGCGAAAAAAACATTTTCGACGGATTACTCTTTTTGACTTCACAAATCAACAACGTCCCATAAATGAAATCACGCTGCTAATGAAATTATAGGTACTCCAAAGACAAGTACACGGAGAGCGGCATAGTTATCTTGACAAGGAAATGGATGGGTGAAGAGAAAACGAAGATCTTTTTTATTTACAGATCAAAACTTGCCACCGAAGTTATTTCATTTCGCCGAAAAAGCTCCAAGTTCTCTAATTAACCAACGATGAAACCACGTATTTTACTGCTAAAAATTTTTACCAATGAAAGTTTAATTTTCACTTATATGTTATACAGGGTGTCATTTTTAAAACTTGCAATCGGCAATATCTCTAGAACTGAAAAAGTTATTGAAGTTGAAAATTTTAAATGACACGACCCTACTTGTGAGACATTGTAGGAAAGCTATAACATGCGCTTTTCAAAAATGTCATACAACAGTCTATTTCATAAAGCCTTTTTTCCAACTATTCAAAAACGAAGACTTTAAATTTTCATTTTTTTATTATATTCAAGGGTGGGTGGAGGTGCG